CAACTAATCCTCCTCCAGTAACAGCAACATATTTCACAACAGTAACCTTCGAAACAAAGCCCCATTCAACCAATCCTCCTCCAGTAACAGCAACATATTTCACAACAGTAACCTTCGAAACAAAGCCCCATTCAACCAATCCTCCTCCAGTAACAGCAACATATTTCACAACAGTAACCTTCAAAACAAAGTCCCATTCAACCAATCCTCCTCCAGTAACAGCAACATATTTCACAACAGTAACCTTCAAAACAAAGCCCCATTCAACCAATCCTCCCCTGGTAACAGCAACATATTTCACAACAGTTACCTTCAAAACAAAGCCCCATTCAACCAATCCTCCCTGGTAACATCAACATATTTCACAACAGTTACCTTCAAAACAAAGCTCCATTCAACTAAACCTCCCCTGGTAACAGCAACATATTTCACAACAGTTACCTTCAAAACAAAGCTCCATTCAACCAATCCTCCCCTGGTAACAGCAACATATTTCACAACAGTTACCTTCAAAACAAAGCTCCATTCAACCAATCCTCCCCTGGTAACAGCAGCATATTTCACAACAACCTTCATTATTGCATTTCGTTTAAAAATAGCTTTCTCTGCTACTCCTGTCAGTTAAAAGAAACTTTTCAGTACCAGTAATCTATGAAATATATCAAATTTGTTAAGATTTGCATATCAGTAGACCCAGACTTTATGAATATGTGATGTCTGTTAAAGTTCAAGTATCAGTAGACCCAAGCTTTCTGAAATATATAATAATATTTGAAGTTCTACAGACTCACGCTTAAGTATGTCATATCTGTTCCATAGTTTCGCCTAGTTCAACAAATAATAATCATATGTACAAGACAAGCACATCATAATAGAGCCCTCTATAGCATTTAGATTAATTACAAGAGTTTTTGCTGTTTGTTGTATTTTAGAATCTTTCTCCACTAAAACTCCAAATAGAATAATACTTATTTTTATGATATTCACAAACTTATAACACTTTTTAAAGTGCTACAAATATTTAATTCCTAATATCTATAAACTTTACAATAATCAAAACTTTCAATATTTTTGAAACACTTTATTTTTCAAAATTTCCTTTTTTTATTTTTATTACCAGATCTTTTGTTTACCCCTACCATATACGACCAATAAAAATCTATCGAAAAGCTACTGCAAAACAGTGGTGTAGCATTTCATGGTTGACCCTTAACACTGGCATTTGTTAAATGTATTCATTTCATGTAACAATCATCATATTATTGTGTGTATGGTGTTTAGTAGCTGTAGAAATAAATGCTTATCTCTTTCTATAAAGCCCTGCTGGAATTATCCCACAGGTGATCATCAACGAACTTCTGATAAAGTGATATTAACAAGAAAAATGTTATCTGAAAGCACATTATGTCGATCAAAGTCAGCCTGCTGTATTACCGCCATGATTCACCAACAAACACACATTTTAACAGATTTATAAAAGAATTAGGGCAGGTTATCAGGCTCTACTATATTACATTAGCACAAAACAAGAGTTAGGACAGGTTATTGGGCTCTACCATATTACATTAGCACAAAACAAGAGTTAGGATAGGTTATCAGGCTCTACCATATTAAATTAGTACAAAACAACAGTTAGGGCAGGTTATCATACTCTACTATATTACATTAGCACAAAACAAGAGTTAGGACAGGTTATTGGGCTCTACCATATTAAATTAGCACTAAACAACAGTTAGGGCAGGTTATCATACTCTACTATTAGCACAAAACAAGTGTTAGGGCAGGTTATCAGGCTTTACTATATTACATTAGCACAAAACAAAAGTTAGGACAGATTATCAGGCTCTACCATATTAAATTAGCACTAAACAACAGTTAGGGCAGGTTATCATACTCTACTATTAGCACAAAACAAGAGTTAGGACAAGTTATCGGGCTCTACCATATTGAATTAGCACAAAACAAGAGTAAGGGCAGTGTATCATACTGTACTATATTACATTAGCACAAAACAAGAGTTAGGACAAGTTATCGGGCTCTACCATATTGAATTAGCACAAAACAAGAGTAAGGGCAGTGTATCATACTGTACTATATTACATTAGCACAAAACAAGAGTTAGGACAGGTTATCATACTCTACTATTAGCACAAAACAAGAGTTAGGACAGGTTATCATACTCTACTATTAGCACAAAACAAGAGTTAGGACAGGTTATCAGGCTCTACCATATTAAATAAGCACAAAACAAGAGTAAGGGCAGTGTATCATACTACACTATATTACATTAGCACAGAACAACAGTTAGGGCAGGTTATCAGGCTCTACCATATTATTACACCGATACTAACTAAGTCATGTGATTTACAATGCTTTTAAAGAAAACTATATTTAGGGTTTTGTTTGTTTGAAGTCAAGCACAAAGCTACACAATGGGCTATCTGTGCTCTGCCAACCATGGGTATCGAAACCCAGATTCTAGTGTTATAAGTCCACAGACATACCATATATTTAGGGTTATTGTTTATAAACTTACAACATGGTTTGGAATGTTGCAATCCGTGTCGGTCATGGCAAGAAAGCATCAGCAAGCAATCATTGGTTAATCCTACAATTCCAGTTGAAGTCCATTTGGTTTTTAAACACATTTTATAAACTTGTGGGCTCAAAATTTTGTTGGTTACAGGGTTGTTAATAATATATCCGACAAACAAAAAAATGTAAATAAAAAACACCATCAATATCAAAATTAACCCTAATTATTAACATTAGGGTTCCCAATGTATTTTATAAGCGATTTCATCAAATGTTTTGGTCAGTTCTTTATACTGGATGTTGTAGCATGCAATAATATAGAATTAATTAATGTGTTTTAGTATTTTGACCCATCAGTATAAAAACAAGGCAATGTACTGAGAGTTAACTATAAAATAACAATAATAATGTTTTACCAACAGATTATCATTGGTCTTTTCAAAATGAATGGCACCTTATTTACTCATGGACTAAAGGGCCACGTTAGAAACCACTAAGGTTCGAGTTTACCCATTCCAAATTGAGAGCTGATGACCTAAGGTATGGCAACCACTCAGGAGTATCCACCAGCTATTATTCATCATCTATTATTTAGATTGACTGTTACAGTTATAACACTCCACAGCAGATTGAGTTTCACACCTTTCACCTTCCAATCTGTACACAATCCTTTATGCCACAATCAATCACCTACCAAAAGAATGCAAACTTTCATAAGTAAGAAGTGGTTGAACTGAGTTAACACAATATTTATGTAACTGAAAAATGTATGTGTAGAATTTAGTTTTTGTGGCTTATATTTAATACTCAAGCAAGTGTACAAGAATAACAAATTAAGATTTTGAGGTGAATGATTTTTGTTGTATGATAACAAACTTATTGTGAAAATCCATCAAGATGTTTAATGTGTGTGTGATATAACAGTAATCTACCATTCCATACAGAAGAGTTAATGATATAGAGCATCAGTACAACAGTAATTGCTTAGGCCTTAGAGCCTCTTTCCGCACTATTGATGGTGCTCTATGTGATAGCTCTGGTTATAGCAAAATTCTCTGTAACACAAGCACAATTTTTACTGCAATTGGCTTTTGCACAATACTCTGAGGTCAATGTTGACCATTAAAGAGTGGTTTCCAGGATCCCATTTGAGTAACCCAGAGGCACTGAAGTCTATGAGAAGTTTCTGGAAATCATGTACAGTATAAATTCCCATCTGTACTTGCATGTTGCCAAGTAATCTGAACATATCATTCTATGCTTTGTGTTGATGAGGCATACTATATTGGTATCCGATCCAAACAAAGATGGTATTTCCTCTTGGAATAGTGGTGTCAAGCAAAGTTTACACTGACATTCATCCCGATTCTCCAGATGGAGAACTTACCATAATAGCTGTAACCTGTGAGTGCCATCAATACTTGGGACAAGCTTTTGTTAGATGTTCTGAACCATTTTCAAAATCACTGGCAAAAGGAAGACCAACCATCAAACATGAATTTGGCTATGTGATTTAGGACAAGCTCATGTTTGATGGTTGGTTTTCCATTTGGCTATGTGCTTTAGGTCGAAGTTCATGTGTGATGGTTGGTCTTCCATTTGGCTATGTGATTTAGGACAAGTTTGTGCACACAGCTCTTTTTCACTTTGTTTTCAAGAATCAAATCCATGTGAATTATCTTGTTTACAGTCCCCAGTCAGGGTTCTTCTTTAGCAACAATTAACCACTGTGTTCTTGGGTTTACAAGCTCTTTAACTTCCTGTATTATTTCCTGTAACTCTTAGTCAGCTATGAACAGGCCTCTTCTTTCCCTACTGGATTCACTACTTCTGGGAATTTAACTGATGCACAACAACATTTTGTAACTTACATGTTTTTATAATAGTGAAATAGAAAATTTTGCATTTGCAAATCCTTTAACATAACTCTCCCAGAAAGGGTCAATTTTTTGTCACCTGCACTTACAAATCAACATCATGGTCAGGGCTTTGATCTGGTCACAGTGATGGCCAGGAGCAAGTTGATTCAATGTGCAAATTGTTATCACGAATCATAAATGTCCCGATTCCCAATTAATTCTGAACTAAAATGAAATAAATAGGCTTAATACATACTAACATACACACAAGTTAGCATTCATCTGTGAAATATTGTTCTGTGACACAGATTTTATTTTTGTTCTGTTTAGGGGTGATCCAGACAAATGCGACTATTTTGGAAACACAGCTCTCCACTGTGCTGCAGCAAATGGCCACATGAATTGTGTTTCATTCCTCGTGAGCTTTGGTGCCAACATGTGGGCCTTAGATAATGATTATCTGTCTGCGAAGGATGTAGCAGCCAACAACAGTAGAGATGATATCTTGAAGTATTTGGATAAGGTCATGGACACACAACAGAAGAAAAACAGCAAGAATGTGGATAAGATGAAAGATAAGGCTAAACGAGACACAGAGAAGCGTGTGAAAAATCTCCAGAAGATCCAACATAAAGCCATTAAACTGGCTGAAAAGTCTGAAAGAGAGTTAGAAAAACAACGAAAGATGATGCATAGTAATGATATTCAGCCTGATCAGAGTAAACCTAGGCTCTCTTTTACAAGTATTGGTCAAACTTTCAGAAAGGACTCAAAGCTTCTTTATACTAGCTCACCAAAGTACTCAGATATTGTTAACAATAGCCAAAGCACTTTGGGCTTGAAACGAGGGCGAGGGGCTGTGTCTAAGAAGATTCAACAAAGAAAAGAAGTTATTGAAAGTGACTTTAAGATACGGGAAGTAGAAAGTCATGGAAAACAGTCAGTAAGATCATTGTCAGGGCTTCGTAGAGATTCTGAAGTTTTGTATGTTCCCAGATATGAAACTCAGAACAGTGAATCGGCTAGACAGCGTCCTCTTCTGAAAAATGTTTTTGATGGTAAAAATTCTGCTCGTTCTCATAGTGAGCCAAATATTTTTCAACCTGTAGAATTTAGTCAACTTGAGCCATCCAGCATTTTTGAGCGACCTGGGTTTGGTAGTATGGCATTTCGTGGCTCCTTGACTGGAGCATTGCTGTCCCTGCCCGATCATGAAGACAACAGCTATGAAGAAGATGTCCAGTCTAAAGAAAATGACCTAGACCACAGAAATGGTAGTGTAAATGACAGCATAGGCAGTGCTGGAAGTTTAGCTAGACGTCATGTACCCTGGGATGGTGAAGTTATTCTAGATGATGATAATGATGCACATGACTCCACACCAATCATCCTATTTCTTGCAGCACATGGGATGACTGAGTACATTCCTCTTTTTACGAGGGAAAGGATTGACCTAGAGTCTCTCATTCTACTAACTGACAGTGACTTGAAGGACCTCGGTTTGCACTTGGGTCCCAGAAGAAAATTAAGACAAGCTTTGGAAGAACGAAAAAAGGCACTAGAAAACCCAGGAGAAGTGACTGACACTAAACTGTAAGATCAGAAGACAAAAGGATCAAAACTGTAAGTCAAATGCATGTTTGAATAAGATATAGAATACATGGCAAATGTTTAAAAATAAAATAAAATGGATCAGGATTTTACTTAAACCGAAAGATCATTTTACCTCTGGATGTTAAGTAAACAGTCAGATATAGAGTATAATGATGAAAGATAACTAACAGGAAATGATAAAAAATAATAAACCATTGAAAGTGATAATGGATCATGATATAAAGTGTGGCACTAATTGAGAAAGTTGCCGACGTTTTAACAAGGAATACACAACATATGTATGACTACAATCAACACTGGTGAGAAATGAGAAAAAAGCTGGACAGAGATAGTGACTGTGAAGCTATACACACTAAAAGGGTAACACTAATTGGGTAAGTTGGTAACTGGACATTTTAATGAGGAAAATACAGTATCTGTATGACTTGATCCAAAAGAAGTTATCTTGGTGACAGATGAGAAGAAAGTTGGTGAATTTGGTGGAGATGGACAAAGGAAAGAAATGGCCAATTCCTGATTAAAGGATGGGGAAACAATGACGTCCAAGAAAATAACACATTGAATGTATATTGTATAATAATATAATTGTAAAATTATGCTGAAATTATAACTTTATAAATAAAAAATTCTGTTGAATAAATTGATGCTAAAATCATGGTGCCATAAATAAATAATTCTGCATAATCTTTTTACTTTTGGTTGATGGCAAATTCATTAATGCCAAACCTAGAAGGGAAGTAGGATACATAAATGATAACCCAATGTATTGGACTTCCAAAAGAAACATCAGTTGAGTGTTGAATCCAGAGTATTAAGAAATTTTATACTCAGAGTTTGTAATTCACTTCTTTTGCAGAAAGCCCATTGAGTCTCTCTGCTCTTAATGACAAATAAAATTATTTCTTAATTTCTGTCATTAACTACGTTTTTTATTTATACATAACAATCATGATCACTATTGTATATGTGGAATAACTAAGTCATTGATGTACACCAGTGCCATATGAATAAGCTTGTTTGAAAATGAGACTCAACAGTGAAGCAGGCTTAACTCACTTAACCCTTTCCCAGAGTATAATGAGAAAAATATTAACAATACATCACCAAAATATCAACTGCATTAAAATGTAGGTTAAAAACAGGCCAATGTATTTTATAAAACACAGGCCCTTGTTCTTAACTCATACAGGAAACAGGTAAGCCTCTTATGCTGATTAAATATAAAAATCTTTCTTATTTGACTGTATTCTCATTTCTAATATCACGGTACTTTTATCACTTTTCATGTGCTTACAGGCTGCTCACTGAAGTTGCCAGTTAATTTTTACTGTTTTTGTGGATTCATTAAAATTAAAAAAAAAAGAACTCTCAGTTGATATGAAGTTTAAATCAAACACTTCACACTATCTATGAACACTTGTGAATTGTAATTTAATTACATCACAGTGTTAACCAGCAAATCAATCAATATCAATAATAATTAGGCATTAGTAATTTTACATTATCAGACAAATTTTATTAATCTTACTAAAAAATAGACACATGAACAATCGCAATTTGAAGCATTAATAGGAATGTGATCAATCCTGCATTAACAACAAAGAAAGTTGTATTTCCAATGTTATCTGTATAGTACAATAATGTATAAAGTAAAATAAATATGATAAGCTAGTCTTATACACAGAATTTTGAAGTGTTGGAAAATATTATTTGTGTGAATAAAATATTAAGTATCATTGTATGTGTTTTCAATTGTCTTTATCTTCAGAATCCAAAGTGCAGTAGATGTACGTATTTACTGTTACAACTTTCTAATTATTTTGAATTCTATTCTCATTAACAATGTCAACAAAGATAGATGTCTCTGCTATTATCTTCTTAATCATCGTTCTCTGTGCTAATAATCTGGAATGTTCAATTATTTCATCTCAAATGTATTGAATCAACCAAAATTACCCACCCACCCAACATGTGTAGAAGTTGCATGACTTATTTGATATCACCTGTCGTGTCCCAAATAGACCATGATAAAGACAACAACCAGAAATTTGGATTTTAAGCCTCACTTGCAATACTCTGTATACAATTTCAGTCTCCTCACCTAACAAAGAATATTGACTTATTGGAGAAGATTCAGAGGATGGAAGGGTTATCTTATAGGGATAAGTTAAGATGTCTTTGACTTATTTTCCCTTGAGAAAAGCAAGGTAAGAGGTAACTATATTGAAGATTATCTGGGATATTGATAGGATAAAGGATTCTGACTACTTTGTGCTATATTTTAAAGGTAATAAGAAATGAAATTAGTTTATGATTTGGAAAATAACAGGCTAGGCTCCAATTAAGACAGTTAATTTTTCTAACAGAATGATTGACTTTACAGAGAGGAAATCAATGATTTTCTGAAAAATAAGGGGTGAATATAAATTATTACCACAAGGGTGGATGTGGAAGGACAGCCTTGAAGGAACAAATGGTTTCTTGTTATCTCAGTATCTGTATATCCATTATCTTTCATTAACAAGAACTTAAAACTTTTATTTTTGTTAATGAGTGTAGGTGATTGTACTTTTAAAAGCACAATATTTGGCAAGGATAATGCAGATATAACTATTATTACCAATATTACTATTTCCTTTATTAAACTGGATATTATAACTGGCTTTATTATAGTGCAAGGAATTATTCAGGACCATTACTTTTGATTTTTAAATTAAAACATTTCAATATATATATATATTATAAACACTCAATATAAAAGGCATAAAACAATCCCAAATAACTACATCAGTAAACACAGAATTAAATTTAAAATAAAAAGAATTAACTTGTTTAAATCCCAAAAAAGAATTAACTTGTTTAAATCCCAAAAGTTTGATATGGGCTTTCAAAGTTTTCTGTTTTCAATTTCACTTGCCCTAGAGTCCAGTGTAATTAACTATTAAAAAAGTATTATTATATTTAAATTTAAAAAAAGGGTTAGTGAAGCCATGAATGTTAACTTAAAATGAATAATAATACTGTAGTGTAAACATAGGGTCTAACTTCAAGTTACACGTCAGAAACACCAGGAGGCAAATATTACTACTAGTATTAGGCTAGCCACTGATCAGGAAGTAGGTTTGTTGGTTTGTTTTTGAATTTCGCGCAAAGCTACAAGAGGGCTAGCACATTTAGCAGTGTAAGACTAGAGGGAAGGCAGCTAGTCATCACCACCCACCGCCAACTCTTGGGCTACTCTTTTACCAACGAATAGTGGGATTGACCGTCACATTATAACGCCCCACGGCTGAAAGGGCGAGCATGTTTGGTGGGACGGGGATTCGAACCCGCGACCCTCAGATTGTGAGTCGAGCGCCCTAACCACCTGGCCAGGAAGTAGGATCTACGTACGTTGAGATTAATGAAACTTGAAAGTGCATGCTACAACAAACTGTATCAAGTACGATTTACAATACAGTCTACAGAGTAAATTATTCGTCAGTCGGTACTTATAAAATCATTTTCTGTATTCATTGTTCTTATAATTATATATTCCAGAGACACATAAATTTTCTATCGCAAGTTTCACTAGTCCACTTGAAGTTTGCACTACAATTTAATTTAATAAGTTAAAGAAAAAATTGCATACTTACTTTACCAGTTGTAATCTCATATACCGTAGTGCAAGATGTAAAATAACTAGAGCGTAGCCCCCTCTGCTTTATTTTTCTTATTGTTTACGTGTACAAACACAGAGTAAATATAATCTATATATATATATGTAATGTATAGTTCTCTTAGCACAAATTCTTATTCTTAACCACTCGGCAGTATGAGTATGTATAATCTGAATTATTATTGTTTTTATTTGAAAGAGTTTCGGTTTGTGTTTTAGTGAACGCTCTTGAAGAAGCTGTAAACGTTGAGTGTTTAATTAAATAAAAAAAAAGGTCGTTTATTTGTGAATTGTTTATTATTAAGCACAAAGCTACACCGCGGGCTATCGAAACCAGATTTTTAACGTTTTAAACTTTTACACTTACCGCTCAGCCACCGGGGCAATATCTGTGAAAGCATATTACTGAATTTAAAATAACGCTAAAGCACGATGTATTTAAATTAATACCATTAGTTGAACTACCCAAACGTATTATATCATACCACATTTTACCAGATTTTATTTTTAGTCATTTCAAAGAAGAAAAAAAAAGAATTCGGAATTACATATGACGTCACCTGCACATGGCCGTACACATACTTAATGTAGGCGAACTCGGTAAGAACAATGTTGTTGAATTTCCTTAAAACTATTTTTCTGAATATATTTACTATATCTTATCTTTCTATGGGATACGATTCACCGATGCTAAGTTTTTCAATAAATTTATTTCTTCAAACCTATGTTAAAACAAAGTTTTCTTTGTTTCCAGGTGACAAAGTAAAACGACAGGTTAATTTTACACTCGAAGTTTCCAGGTTTGTACTGGACAGATCAGAGTTTCGTACAACAAGAATCTGTCAGTAAGACGATATGCTGGTGACTGGATACTTGTAATACTGAATATTTACTGAAATCATGAATGTAAGGACAGCTTGTAAAACTAATGTTGTAAATACAAAAATAATTCCTATTACTTACTTATCAAACTTTAGTTAAAAATTTCTGGTTTTGTTAATCTATTTGTAATGTCATGTTCTAGCTCCTGAAAGTAGAGTTTGCTCCCCATTGGCTCAGTGATACGTCTGCGGGTTTGCGGCGCTAAAAATCCGATTTCAATACCCGTGATGGGCAGAGCACAGGTACTCCATTGTGTAGCTTTGCGCTTAACAACAAACACAACATAAACAATAATTAAACTTAGATGGCCGTATAGGCTAGTAACAATGTGACAATGAAACATTTATCAGTTTCTACTGGGTTTAGTGAGAGAGGTATACAACGTTTTATTAAGGGACGATTATAAAAAAACAAAATAAATCTGTAATTCACTTTTTTTACTTTCAGGTTTGCTCCCTGGTGATACGATGGTACGTTTGAGGGCTTATAGGGTTTGATATTCGTGGTAGGAAGAGCACGGATAGCCCATTGCTTTAAATACAGTATATAATTTTCTTAACATAGTCGATTATCGTAATCGGGCTAATTAGAGATATCGCACGAAATAACAAAAGTAGAATCGTTCAGCACTAAATAAAGGTTGAAGATCGAACAAAATCTTTAATTAATTAATAATGAACTTCGTAATTACGTTTCAATATTTTCTTTATTTTTCGCACAATGAAATTATCTTGCCTGAAAGGTTTTTGTTTTATTTATTATTGAACACACAGTTTTGAGTCTCTTTTTTCTTCTCGTGTAATTTAAGATTGATAAAATCAATAGATAATTAAAATATATTCAGAAAGTTCTATTGGAAATTTTTTTCACATACTACATTTTTTAAACGTCACTTTTTTTTAGGCCGTTTGTTTATTTATTGTTAGGCACAAAATTACGCAATGAGCTATAGATCTATACCATGCCTACCACGGGTATCGAAATCCGGTTTTTAGCATTACAGCTTTTCAGACTTATCGCTAAGCCACTAGGGGGTGGGGTATAAAATTATGGAAGAGTTGCACATTGCTTAAAATTTAAGAAAATCCAGAGTTTAAACTATAAAAACGAGACGGTATTTCAAGAGGTTGATCTAAATTATTTGCTAATGGCCTAATAAATTATTTAATCTTAATGTAAGTTGAAAAGATTTATAATGGGCCTTTTGTTATATAACGATGAATGTTAGTTAAAGTTCAGCTGGTTTATTAACAACGAGATTCACCAAGTAAAACTGAGCATGGTGTTTAATCCGAATATTATTATTATTATTGTGTGAATTAAAATAATAGCATTCATTTCTGTAGCTTTCAAAACCTTATACTCCTACATCCCAAAAAACATGTATTATAGTCCTACATCCCAATAAACATGTAATATAGTCCCACATCCCAATAAATATGTAATATAGTCCTACATCCCAATAAACATGTAATATAGTCCTACATCCCAATAAACATGTAATATAGTCCTACATCCCAATAAACGTGTAATATAATCCTACATTCCAATAAACATGTAATATAGTCCTACATCCCCTTAAACATGTAATATAATCCTACATCCCAATAAACATGTAATATAGTCCTACATCCCAATAAACATGTAATATAGTCCTATATCCCAATAAACATGTAATATAGTTCAACATCCCAATAAACATGTAATATAGTCCTATATCCCAATAAACATGTAATATAGTCCTACATCCCAATAAACATGATATATAATCCTACATTCCAATAAACATGTAATATAGTCCTACATCCCAATAAACATGTAATATAATCCTACATCCCAATAAACATGTAATATAGTCCTACATCCCCTTAAACATGTAATATAATCCTACATCCCAATAAACATGTAATATACTCCTACATCCCCTTAAACATGTAATATAGTCCTACATCCCTTAAACATGTAATGTAGTCCTTACATCCCAATAAACATGTAATATAGTCCTACATTCCAATAAACATGTAATATAGTCCTACATCCCAATAAACATGTAATATAGTTCAACATCCCAATAAACATGTAATATAGTCCTTCATCCCCTTAAACATGTAATATAGTCTTACATGCCAATAAACATGTAATATAGTCCTACATCCCAATAAACATGTAATATAGTCCTACATCCCAATAAACATGTAATATAGTCCCTCATCCCCTTAAACATGTAATATAGTCTTACATGCCAATAAACATGTAATATAATCCTACATTCCAATAAACATGTAATATAGTCCTATATCCCAATAAACATGTAATATAGTCCTACATCCCAATAAACATGTAATATAGTCCTACATCCCAATATACATGTAATATAATCCTACATCCCAATAAACATGTAATTTAGTCCTACATCCAAATAAACATGTAATTTAGTCCTACATCCCAATAAACATGTAATATAGTCCTACATCCCAATAAACATGTAATATAGTCCTGTATATAGTACAAATCATTCTCACACTTGCAGAACGCACTGGTACAATAACGTTGTTGCCATTTTAATTGCTGTATGTGACTTTAAATTTGTCTTTGGCCTGACACTATTAAGAATTATGTTGTCAAATACAGAGGCAATAAATCGATATTGAAGAAACAAAGGAGACTATGGATGCTGTAATCTTAACACTACAAGGATGTAGAAATGATGGCAGCTTTGAAAGTGCGAGGAGCTCAGTCTAGACCATGGCCTGCTTGGTGGAAAAGGAGCTTGAAAACATCTCTGTAAAGTCCAGAAAAGAAAACTTCAAGCTCTGTTCCGTAAAGTGAATGGTACTGAATCTTTTACCACTGATGTAAAAACTTATTATCTTGTCATATCAGAAACGAGATATCGGTTCGACGAGAATGGCTAAGCTATTCTTCATGCATTTTCGGATGTTGTTTCTGCAGCTCGAGTGAAAGATTGCAGGTATGCAACTATTACGGTATTTTAAGAACTCGATGAGGAGTGAAAGAAAAATATCTATGAAAAGTAGAAGAGCCAAGAAACTTCTAGTTCTTCTCTAAAATCTTCTGCTTGGGTTGTTCAAAAGCTCTTTGACAATTATATTTTCCATGTGTTGCTATGTTTTACAAGTGAATTTCGACGACGATACCGGCAAAATTCTGTTCCTTGGAGCGATTATTCAGTGCCTTACGTCAAATGAAAACGTAATTGTGCTCAACCTGGCACATGAGAGGTGACTTTCACTTGCACTGATAAACACCGAGAGAAGTCTAGAAAGGACACATTATCAAATAACATGGTCGGTCGTTCAAATGGCGGGAACTCTTATTTCGTCTAAACAAGCATACACCACTAGTTCTAAAAGTAATAAATTCTCTTTTTGACACTATTCTGCAATTTTTTTTATCATTATGGCTTCTCTTTGTTCCAAACTCGTAGCGAGGTCTGGAAATGGGCGGGGGTCCAAAGTAGAACTCGTTTCATGTGTAACTTTAGTGCCCAGGGACGAAGAGACAAATGTCCCGAAATATGTATTGGCTCCTATATTATCACTGTAAATAAACGTTTACTCTGATAAGCATGAAAATAGTATTTCCGCATATTTGCACAGTGTTACAAAAGCAATTATATAATGAGAGGTCATCATTATAGAAACGAAAAAAATAAATGTTAAGCTCTTGTTTATACTCTTTGCTTTCTTTTATGCAAATGATCTTTAGTAAAAGATTTTGTTTCACAAAAGATTAAATTACTCTTTTCCTCAACTCACCCCGTAAAAAAATCTCCCACACGCTTGTGCATGAGCATGTAATGCTCGAGTATCTTTGCGCGAAACTAAACGAACACTTCTCCATCTTACGCACCGAGTATTTTTTGTTTTCTGTCACATTAAAAACAAACCTGCAGCATATCTGATACAGTAAACTAGACCTAGCTATCAGTTAATTACGTCTCTATACATGTAGTTTAATATTGCAAGGATAATGGCAAAGCAGTGTGCAGATGGGGTTTAAGTAACATTACGATCGTAAAAACTGTCAATTAAAAGTAAAGAGGCAGTTATAATTCTCATATTTAACAATAAATAAAAAAGTACTTACTGTACGAAAATGGCCAAATGCACTCTGTATGTTGATGGTCTGGAAATTGTCTTTTTTTAAATCACATTCTTATTGGTCAGTTACTGACAAGTTCTATAATGTCATAATAAATATTTAATTTATTGAGCTATTAATCTCCTCACACTTTGAATATTACATATTTTGTCACGCTTCAGAGTTTCCCAACGATTTCCCAATTATGGAAACATTCACCCCATTAATGTATGTCAGCAATAATTCATCTCAGAAAAGACAAATGTACCACGAATTCTGAGACATTCAGGGTTACTTGAGTGACCTCTTGTGCTCTTTAGCCAGGTGAAACTGCATGGACATAATACTTCCTATATCCCATTAACATGTATCCCTGAGTTATAATAAACAAGTACCCCATATTCCAGTAAACATGTACAATTATGTAACCTTACATCCCATTAACATGTATCTCTAAGTTATAATAAACAAGTACCCCATATTCCAGTAAACATGTACAATTATGTAACCCTACATCCCATTAACATGTATCCCTGAGTTATAATAAACAAGTACCCCATATTCCAGTAAACATGTACAAATATGTAACCCTACATCCCATTAACATGTATCCCTGAGTTATAATAAACAAGTACCTCATATTCCAGTAAACATGTACAATTATGTAACCCTACATCCCATTAACATGTATCCCTGAGTTATAATAAACAAGTACCTCATATTCCAGTAAACATGTACAATTATGTAACCCTACATCCCATTAACATGTATCCATGAGTTATAATAAACAAGTACCCCATATTCTAGTAAACATGTACAAATATCTAACCCTACATCCCATTAACATGTATCCTTGAGTTATAATAAACAAGTACCCCATATTCCAGTAAACATGTACAAATATGTAACCCTACATCCCAAAAAGTATGTACCCTGCATTTCAATAAACATGTACCCCTAAATTCCAAACAATATATACCCCTACATCTCTACATATGCCCCTGCATCCCGATAAATATGCATCCCTATATTCCAATAAACATGTACTCTTATATCCCAATAGATATGTACCCCTATTGTTCAATAAGAATGTGCCTATATATCCCACAAATATTTACCCCTATCCTGACAAATATGTACCTCAATATCCCTATAAATATATGTACCCTTATTCCAACAAATATTTACCTCTACATCACATAAAATACGTATCCTTATCCACTTTTCACTCTAAAGATGTGAGAAGAGAAACGTTTATTGTATGAAAACCTACCATTTTTCTAAGATTTGATTTTTCGTAGAACCAGATATTTCCAATTTCCTCATCACTAGAGACATTAAACAGATTTCAGTATGTAACATGGGGTTGGTTATAACATTATTTTTTTATAATAATATGTAAAGCACTGCTCGTGGGTATTATTAATTAATATCATTAGACATGAACACACAGATTTTTTTATAATAATAACATTTAATAAAGATACAGATAATTAACTGTGTCTGACGAGTATTATAAAATATGGCTAATCTTATAATTGATCTTTGTCACATTTTTTTGATCCCATGATCCTTCGTAACTTGACGCTTCCAAAAACGTTGTCGCTGTAAGAAAAATTATATCTGTTATAAATTGATGGAGGTTTCCAAATACAGAAATATGCTGAAACTAGCATCTTACCAATAATAAACTACTTTTATTGTTACAAGCTTGCATTTTTAATTCTTTTAAATTGAAAGGAAGGGTGTAAAGTGTTAAAACAGGCACTAACTTGGAAGGACAATATAAGGTTTTCCATATAATACCGCAAAACAATTAGCTTAAAGTGAAGCAATCCCCCCATTGGGTCAACAGTACGTTTATTGAGCTTAAAACACTAAAACTCGAAGTTTGATTCCTGTTGTATAGTTTGCAGTAAAACAAGTAAATAAAGAATACAGTGAAGCAACAGTTTACTGTCTAGAAAACAACTAACAAAAGGTTGCTTACCTACTGACAAATATACACAGATTGTGTATAGGTTTTTCAGGGTTTGTTTAGGTAAAGCTGGATAGGATTGGGTGTCCATTAAGAAATGTGAAGTGTTAATGGACATCACCTAAAATAAGTATGTTAGGGAATAGAAAGGTTTACTTACTTGAATGGATCCATGTTCCTTATGTGGAGATACATTCATGTTAGAAAAACACGTAGGTTCAAGAAATCAATTTAATACATGTGATACCTATATCTTCTTCAGTAAAGTGTGTGATTTTCTAACATCAAGAATGTATCTCCAAGTAAGGAACATGGACCCATTCAGGTAAGTAAGGAACAGGCACCTATTTAGGTAAGTAAAAAACATGGACCCATAAGAAACATGTATTTCTCTCCCTTATTTTTTTTCCAATTCCATTAAGAACGTCTTTGAAATCAAAATCTTCCTTCTGAACACATATTTGTATCGCAAAGGGCTATTATATAACTTTCACGAACTTGGTCATTTTTTGGAAACATCACACCTTTAACAAGGTATAACATTTAACAAGGTATAAAAAAAAAGTAGTTCTTAGACATACTATTCCACCACAATTTTATTTTGGCCGTGTTGTCACGTGACTTGCTGATTTGCATATTGAAACATATTTTAATATAACGTACTCACCCTCTGTAGATAGCTAGAGAGGGATCAGACAAGGTGTACTAGAGTTGTGTACCAGATTTTAAAGCTGGAGATGGTTCATAACAGGTTTACTAGAGCGATTCTCTCATTAAAAAGTCTACTAAAATTACCCTAATTATAAAGGTAAAGAATGAACACTCAGAAGAATGTCTAAGTGATGTTTAAAAAAAACAAAAAAAGGTACAAGTTCTCACTCAAAACTTAGAGACAGGTATAAGATACAAGTTCTCACTCAAAACATAAAGACAGATATAAGGTACACGTTCTCAATTAAAACTTAGAGACAGGTATAAAGTACAAGTTCTCACTCAAAACATAAAGACAGGTATAAGATACAAGTTCTCACTCAAAACTTAGAGACAGGTATAAAGTACAAGTTCTCACTCAAAACTTAGAGACAGGTATAAGATACAAGTTCTCACTCAAACTTAGAGACAGGTATAAAGTACAAGTTCTCACTCAAAACTTAGAGACAGGTATAAAGTACAAGTTCTCACTCAAACTTAGAGACAGATATAAGGTACAAGTTCTCACTCAAAACATAAAGACGGGTATAAGATACATGTTCTCACTCAAAACTTAGTGACAGGTATAAAGTACAAATTCTCACACAAAACTTAGAGACAGGTATAAGGCTAAAAAAAGTATTATTTCATTTTAAGCATCATAAAAATGGTTTGTATTATATTTTGGGGTTCAAAACTAAAGAATGTTGTTATTTGTTTAATTACTTCAATTGGTTTATGGGATGTTTCCATCTAATTCTATCATATAGCTTATCATAAAGTTTGCTTGAAGCTACTACACACCTTACTTTTGTTTAACACAACACAAAGTAGGAGGTTGACTTATTTTTGTTTACCAGAACACAGAGTAGGGGTTGACTTCCTTTTGTTTACCACAACACAGAGTAGGGGTTGACTTACTTTTGTTTAACACAACACAAAGTAAGGGGTTGACTTACTTTTGTTTAACACAACACAAAGTAAGGGGTTGACTTACTTTTGTTTAACACAACACAAAGTAAGTGGTTGACTTACTTTTGTTTAACACAACACAGAGTAGGGGTTGACTTACTTTTGTTTACCACAACACAGAGTAGGGGTTGACTTACTTTTGTTTAACACAACACAAAGTAAGGGGTTGACTTACTTTTGTTTAACACAACACAGAGTAGGGGTTGACTTACTTTTGTTTAACACAACACAAAGTAGGGGTTGACTTACTTTTGTTTAACACAACACAGAATAGGGGTTGACTTACTTTTGCTTGACATCCTCAGAGCCAAATGCTGTTGTCTTCACTCCACTTTCTGGAGTGACGGAGGAAGGAGAGGCTGGTGGTACAGACTGGGGGAAAGGAGACGTTAAGGATCTACAGATGGGCCGAAGGGTAAGTCCTTCATATTGAGCAACGTGTAAACCATCACGATTCTCTGGAAAGTTTGAAGCAGTGGGAGTCTTGAAGAAAGAAAAGTAAATTACTATCTAGTATCAGTACACTAGGATAACACCGTAATAAGTAACAACATAAATTTTACATGATAAATCATGCAACTAGTGCATGGAGATAACTCAAGTAACATGAATGTCTTAAATACAGATCCATTTAATAAGGAAGTGAATTATTAAAGCCTTTTCTGCAGCTTCAAGTAACACGATATGTCAGTGTAGCTGTCTGCAACTATGCGTATGTATGAAGTTGGAGAAATATGAGAGGCATACATAACTATTGACTAATTATAACTTGGCATCATTTAGTAGGGGGGAGTGATTGTTTGAGTAAAACTTGCTGCAAATCTGACTTTGAATTTAGCAGAAAAAGTAATAAAAAAAAATCAAATAATTAGCTAGAAATATTAATTACCTACAGCAAAAAATAATCTGCATTGCTAGAACATATTTTATATTTATTAGTAAACCCCACTGTAAAAACTGATAGCTGTAAAATCAGACACAGTCTATCAGTTGGTAACAATAGAATTCACCACAGTTAGTATATGCTCTACAGAATTAAGGAATAACCATGAATGTAATATTACTGATGAGAACAATCCTCACCTTACACATTTCAGTCAGCTTACAGTAAAAACCCTCGCCAAAAGTACTCATTCCACTGGAGACAGCAGGAGGTGGAGATCCAACTTCTTTTCCTGAATGCATGGTGGAACTGCTGAATGGTCTTGTACAAGGCACATTGTTGGAGACTTCCTCCCTAGAGGTCACTCCTGTATAGAAGTCTGATGCTCTACGCTTGCCTTCTGAGGAACTACCATATAATCAAGAACAATAGAATATAAACAATAAATCAAATATAGAACATACAGTTATTTATTTAATTACTATAATTCTTATAAATATTGTTTCTGGAACTGTATATTTTGGAAGTAGGTCTGATTTGTATCTTTATTTTATATCTACATCATTTTTACAAATGTTTCATTCTTGTTTTAAAAGTTGACAATCTAATCTTTGAGAAAAGAAAAAAAGAAGAGAATAACAAGCAGTTTTGAATTGAGTAATCCATATGTCATTTTATAATAATTACTTTAGTTTTAATTTGTGCATCAACCTTTAAGGGTTGTGTTAAAACATGTGGTTCTTTCAGAATTTTCTTGCATGGTTACACAAAGGGCTATCGGTGCATAGTTATCTCTAATTATGAATTTACAGACTAGAGAAAAGGCTGCTATGATCAATACAACCCCCAATTTTGGGCTGCACTACTGACTACCTGAATAATTGGATTTGACCACCACATCAAAGAGCAGAGTGAATTTACATTGGAATGGACCATAAATCATGAACCCCAAGTATACTAGTCGATTTGATGGAAAGAAATGTATGTGGAAAAATGGCAACAAGAGGATATATATATTCTTATTGATTTAAAGATGTCACTCTGCACAATATAGCTACGATTGCATCATGGATCTTCTGGAATTTTTTTAGATTATTCGATTTTTTCATAAGATGCTTAATTACTTCTTGCTCAAAAGATTTGATTACATAAAAATTCGAGTTGATGGGTTAATAAAAGGAGTTAGCAAGGTTAAACAGATACCTCCTCACCTTGATGTGTCACTTCTGTCACAGACTGGGGTTGTGTAGGCCACAGGAAACCAGCCACACCTAGCCACATAGTCAGTTAATTAAATCGTCCATCTCAAACACCGTAATAAGGCTAAGATATGTACAGTTTTTAAGTTCTTAAATGTGTAAAAAGATCAAACATTTTCTATAATTTCCTAAAGGTAAATAATCATATAAAACAATTATGAACCATAAGTATCTGTGGCTGTGTTTGTAGTCATTTCATACAACTCTATAACTTGTACATATCTTTAAATCAGGATCTGTTGTTGTTACCGAAGCTATGTAGAACACACAAAACAGACAGTAGACCTACAGTGCACATATCTTTAAACCAGGATCTTTTGTTGTTACTGAAGCTATGTAGAACACACAAAACAGACAGTAGACCTACAGTGTACATATCTTTAAACTAGCATCTGTTGTTGTTACTGAAGCTATGTAGAACACACAAAACAGGCAGCAGACCTACAATGTACATATCTTTAAACCAGAATCTGTTGTTGTTACTGAAGCTATGTAGAACACACAAAACAGACAGTAGACCTACAATGTACATATCTTTAAACCAGGATCTGTTTTTGTTACTGAAGATATGTAGAACACACAAAACAGACAGTAGACCTACAGTGCACATATCTTTAAACCAGGATCTGTTGTTGTTACTGAAGCTATGTAAAACACACAAAACAGACAGTAGACCTAAAGTGCACATATCTTTAAACTAGGATCTGTTGTTGTTACTGAAGCTATGTAGAACAAACAAAACAGACAGTAGACCTACAGTGTACATATCTTTAAACTAGGATCTGTTGTTGTTACTGAAGCTATGTAGAACAAACAAAACAGACAGTAGACCTACAGTGTACATATCTTTAAACTAGGATCTGTTGTTGTTACTGAAGCTATGTAGAACAAACAAAACAGACAGTAGACCTACAATGTACACAAGCCTCATAGCCAGATCTGGAAGTGGAGAGTTCTTTTGGTCCAAAGTGGAACTCATTTTATGCATAACTTTAATGCACTGGGATGAAAAAAAAAATTAAGAATTATATAATGGCTCCTTTACTATCACTGCAATTAAAGATTTCTAGTAAATTTCCTCTGATAAGTATGAAAATGCTTGTTGCACATGTATGCATAATGAGAGGTTGTCAGCATAGAAAGGAAAAAGAAATAATGATAATAGGTGAGGGGAAATTTGGCAGGAGTGGGATAGGGTTCATTTGCACCATCCAAACCCCACTGAATGTACATATCTTTAACCTAGAATCCGTTATTGTTACTAAAGCTATGTAGAACAAACAAAACAGACAGTAGACTTACAATGTACATATCTTTAAACTAGAATCTGTTGTTGTTACTAAAGCTATGTAGAACAAACAAAACAGACAGTAGACTTACAATGTACATATCTTTTAACTAGAATCTGTTGTTGTTACTGAAGCTATGTAGAATAAAATAAAACAGACAGTTGACCAACAATGTACATATCTTTGAACTAGAACCTATAAGATAGCTTTTAAAATATCCTGAAATAACCTAAAATAATGATGATAAAATTTTAAATGTTTTAGCACAGAAGCTTAATGTGTTCCTGTTGTTCAAGTATTATTTTATTTTGTCTTCTGTTTTATTCTGCTTTAAGTAATTATACACAGATATATATAAATACCTTACAATATAGATACCTGTGATTTCGTAGGTTCTCACCATACTGCCAACCCTTGTTTCTTTGGCCAATCAAAACAAGAATATCTCCTTCGTGAAAACTCAGTTGATGCTCTCCACTTGATAAATAAGAATAGATTGCTTGAACTTCCTGTCTTCCTGACTGTATGTCTTCAGTGCCCAGCAATCTTCTAGAAGATTGTGGACTGCCTGTTTGAAAAAAGAAAATATGATATGAAGATATTTTCAAATAAATATACAGAACCAAAAAGCCAAAATATCTAATTCATCCAATGAGTTCACAGCAAAACAGACAGAACATTTAAAATTAACAGGAGAAGATACTTACAATATTTACAAACTGAAGAAAGAATTTCTTCTCTTAATTATAACACGAGTTTCATAACTGTTTTGGAAAATTGCTTTATGGTACATACAAAAAAAACAGATTGATGGAGAGAAGAAGAAACAAAAGTAGATATCACTAATTAACACTTACAATCAACATACAGTAGTGAGTATGTTATATTAAAACAGGGTTATATAGAGTGTTGAGTACATTATATTAAAACAGGGTTATATAGAGTGTTGAGTATGTTATATTAAGACAGGGTTATATAGAGGGTTGAGTACGTTATATTAAAACAGGGTTATATAGAGGGTTGAGTACGTTATATTAAGACAGGGTTATATAGAGGGTTGAGTACATTATATTAAGACAGGGTTATATAGAGAGTTGAGTACGTTATATTAAGACAGGGTTATATAGAGGGTTGAGTACGTTACATTAAAACAGGGTTATATAGAGGGTTGAGTACGTTATACTAAGACAGAGTTATATAGAGGGTTGACAACGTTATATTAAGACGTTATATAATAGAGGGTTGAGTACGTTATATTAAAACAGGGTTATATAGAGAGTTGAGTACATTATATTAAGACAGTATTGAATATACATATCAGCAAGTTATATGACAAACACATCTGATACAACTACATTTTAAAATTGTTTAGCATTTCGTAGTTATTGTGATATCACCAAAAATTGATTGCTCTTGAGAAGGGTTTGTAACAGCCCTCGTCCGATGCAATTTTCATAAAATTAGACCACAAAGAAATCACTTGCACTTAATGGCATTGAAAACAAAGGAATATAGATCAAGGTGGGACAACAGAAATATTCAGAAAGAGATTTACTACAAGATATACCCCAGCCCTAGTAAGAAAAGTGTGAATCTAGTAACAGGTGATACACAATGGTCAGTGGTAAAAGCTGTCCATGTATTTGAAGCAACAGCATGGAGGGTAAG